AAAAAGACAGGAAAAAATGTTCCATATATAGATAGATATATATATAATGTATATTTCTACTGTTTCTTCGGAGGCTTATTATAAGACAATTTTAGATCTTGAACAAATGTAAAAACCAAAAAAACACTTGAAACCCATCGAATGGATGCTTCGCAGTCACATTGGGGGCTGACCCCACGAGGTGGCCACCAACGGCATGTTCATCTGTGGTCCTCATTTCGGTCATGTTCAATGCTGGGAATCTTTACCTTGGACCAATTCAGGACCCAATAGTGATGGGTCAATTGTAGCTGGTTGGTGATTTCAACCCTTCTGAAAAATATGAGTCAATGGGAAGGATTATCATGATTATCCCATATATTATGGAAAAGATTCCAGTCATGTTTGAAACCACCAACCAGGTAGTGACTCATCACCCACCAAGGGATCACCGTTCCGTTCCGCCTGGTGGAGAGCACCCCGGGCGCGGAGACCCTGCTCCAGGCCCCCACCGACGTGGCCAGATGCCGGAAGAGCTCCAGCGCTGTGGGATCATCGGGACCTCGGTCAGGGCAGGGTGAATTCATGATGGTAACCTGGGCATCACCATGGTTTAAGTATGGGAACCATAGGTATAACATGGTATGACTATAGTAAGAACATGTAAGAACTATATATATATATTATATATATTATATATATATACATATAATCTATATTCACGCAATTTTCATGGGAATCACTATATGACTATATGGTAATAAGCTGGGCGCCAGGGGTTATATAATTCTATGGGTATAACTTGGGGATTTTGACCTCCATCAGTTGGGATATGGGGCCCCATATGTTTCATCAGCCACTTATTGAAGAAACTGCACACCCTTACCCATGTCATCAAACGTGGCTGGCTGGGAAATCTCCGAACTAAATGGAGGTTTTACAGGGGAAATCATCGAACTAAATGTGGGATTGTCAATTGCTAGTCCGGGTTTGATTACCGGAGGGCATTGATAAGGAGGTGTGGTATAAACTGAAATGTAAGGGGAATATCACCAGTAATATTTGGGTTTTTTTGTTTGCCCAACCTGTCATTCCATTTTCTTGGTTGGTGAATGGAGGGGTTTCCCTAATGAAATGTGTTAATCCCCACTGTATTGGATACTATGACTCTATACAAACATCAACCAACAGGGGCTTTTGAACGCTCAATGCTGCATAGGATAACCCTCATTCTTCGCAAGGGTGATGTTTGTGGAAGAACCCAACAGATGTTCGAGTTATTTCACCACTTAAAAGATGAAACGGAACGCCAAAAATGGGGTCTGGAAGATAATTTTCCTATGTCACCACCATATCCAAATTGGATCTGGTGATACTGTCCTATCTTGGTAAATCCTGGATCTGTGTCCTATATGTGTGATGTTTTTTCATGGGTTTTCCAACACAAGGGTTTTGCCTGAATGTAGGGCACCCCTAAACGTCATCAATCTGCTCGTTAACCATGAACATGGCCAGTGAGCAGGCATAGCCACACACATGTCGTTCAATTCCCATCGTTGCTGCAATTGGTGGTTCATCCCAGTCGGTTTTTGTGGGTAAGTTCACCCCAGTGAAATACCTGGGCGTTGCCGCTAGGTTTATCATGCACAAAAACTAACTGAGATGAGCAAACACATATGAATATACATCTATACAATATATACAATATATATATATATATAACCCATCTAATCAATGGAAATTGTCTTCCAAATAGTTGAAACCACTACATTACATTGAATTCAATTTTCCCCACTGTTGATGGTTAAATCCGAATTGTTGATTACACTCTGGCAATTGAACATAGCCATGAAACACTAGTAATAACAATAATAATACACACACATTATGTATATATATATAAATTGCTATTGTAACATATGTGTGGAGCCCATCTGACACATATCAGTCATTCAGATCATCCCTCTGTTTGAACCACGAAGAAATCGGGGCGAGGCACCGCAGGCATCACGTTCCTCGTTGCAAGGCCGGGCATCTCCCAGGCGTCCCAGATCAAGTAGCAGCTGCGCCATATCTCCTGGGGATGACCCATTGTATGTGTGTAGGATGATGTATATACATATTTTTATTTAACTATATATATATATATATTGGATCTACAAATAAATATGCACATTAGATATCTCATTCTATGTGTGTGTATATATATATGTGATATATATGTGTGCGTGTGTATAATTAATTGGATATTTTTGATGCAGGATGGGGATCTGGAAAGGGGTTTCCTTCAAAAAAATAGTTCACTAAGTTGGTGTATAACTAGGCTGAGGGATTCGGGGGGTAGATCTCAAGTTAGATGGGTTTACAAACCAAAATTAGAACTGGGCCCATTCCTGTATAGAGATTGAAACTATTCAATATCCTTGAACCTAGTTGATTTTGGATAATAATAATTCTAGATTCTAGACAATTCAGTGATTTATCAAGATTTAGAATCAAAAAATACCGTCCCCGGACCTTACTGATAAGTGTCCCGGTTTTTTAAGGCGCCAAGCCTGCCAAGCCACTCACATGGATGGGCTGAAAGCGTTGCATCCCATCGCCCGCCAGGAGAAACAGCAGCGAACGTCGCAGGACCCATGCTGCGTTGTTCATCAGGATGGACTCACGTGGGGAATCGCCGAAAATGCCACAGGGCCGGGCTACGGCATAGGACACACCTGAAGCATTGAGGCATGTGCCAGGCCAATCCTATCGGGAATGGCTACCCCAGATTGCCTAAACATTGAGAAACATTGAAACATTGGCTGGTTTTACTGATATGAATTGTTTTAATGATTTTACTCACATATGTATGTATATATATATCAATAAATAAATAATTAAATGAAATTCCGAAATTGAAATTAAATTCAGAAAAAAATCGTTGCGATGACTGAACCACAAGAACGTGTATGGTCCTCCATGTGTGGACGCAACCCACCTGGAAGCCATTGCCCCCATACTGCGTCAAAGTTTTAGGTGGTGTTCCAGGGAAAAAATTAAGGATTTAACACCAATTAACTGTGGCAAATCCCGATCTTCTCAGCTAATCACTGTGCCCTCATATGCTGACCGTTTTAGCCGGACCGGTGGGGCCTGATTCCCTCAGCGCGGCCACCGCCCGAGCTTTGCCCGAAATGTAGGGAAAAGGCGAACCCACCTCGGAACCCATCTGAGCGTGGCACCACTATGGCCAGCAAACGGGAAGAGGTGCTAAATGACTGGAAACTCCAACCATCATCGTCATCATCATAATCATCATCATCATCATCGTCATCGGTCATCAGTCATCAGTCATCAGTCATCAGTCATGCATCATCATCATCATCATCATCACCATCATCATGATCATCACCATCATCGTCATCACCACCACAATCATCATATTTTTCATCATCACCATCACCACAACCATCATCACCACCACCATCATCGTCATCATCGCCATCATCGTCATCATCGTCATCATCGTCATCGTTGCCATCATCATCACCAGCACGAAGAACAAGAACAAGAACAACAGCAGCAACAACAACAGACGACAACGAACAACGGTGGCGGCGGCGGCAACAGCAACAGTCACAGCAACAGCAACACCATCACCGCTTAAACATCAGAGTCCTGACATTGGGCCCGTAGCACTATATAATTACAATTGTCATGGCGGTCACACAAAACTACTTGCCATGACAACATGACAACAACGGCCCTGGCCCAGTCCCACCTGCTACAGTCATACCCAGACCTCTTATAATTCCTGGTTTCAAACGGGACGCAGTGGCATGTGTATGGGAAGTATACACAATCCGTCGCACCCCAGCTTCTTTGGCCAGTTGAAACAATTTCTGACAGCGCTGCGCGGCAGCCGCAAAGGTGTCTCCATCGCGCTGGAAGCGAATCCAGTAAGTACACCAAAGCACGGAGCCTCAAAATGCAACACGAAAACCATCAGATTTGGATCCCCCTTTGAATTCGGTCCCTAACCCGGGTGTTCAGATTCTTTAAAGGGACGCCCTGTGCCACCAAAAAATATCTTTAAAGAATGGGAACCCTTCTGTACAGGCACCTGGTACAGTGCTTAAAGAATCATACCCAGTTGGCCACTCTAACCCATGAGGCTTAAAGAATCATACCCGGTTGCACCCCTCGAGAGGGCAAAAAATGAGCCTAAAGAATTAGCACCCGGGTTTGAGTTGTAGACATTCACCCGTATGAAATTTCACATATGTTTTGTAGCTTTGCGTGGTTCTTCGGAAGTCTACCTACAACATATGTTTACTAATGTTTGTTAGCCCTAAACACTCCCAATTCCAAAAAAAATGCGCAAACCAAAACACCTCCGCTCCTGCTCGCTGATCTCAATTCAATTTTTGCCGCTCTCTTGCATTATGACCCCGTGTAGAACAGAGAAAGTGGATTTTAGCAAAAAATAATAATTAAAAAAAAACAGAATCACCAAAAAAACAAATCGACAGGAAGAATCACCAGAAGAAACAAAAAAAAACAAGAAAAAAACAAAAAAAACACAAAAATCAAAAAAAAACTGCATTTTCCGCAGTTTTTTTTGTGTTTCTTGTTTTTTCCTTGGTTTTGGTTTTCTACTTTGTTTTTTTTGGTTGCTCTGTGTTTTTTTTGTTTCTTTTATTTTTTTCCATCAAACCCTATATTCTCTGTGTTGTTGGACTCATAACTCTTGCAACGCAAGATTTCCCCAGTCTGATCTAAAGATCATTGGCAGTTCTGATTCTTTAGAGGTTATATAAGGCCTGTCGACCCATCAAAACCCAGTAGTTTTACATAGTTCTATGTTATTTTGGTTCATTTTGGATAAGTTTGGGATATTTTCAGGGGAAACCTCTCTAAAGAACCAGAACCCAGATCCCAACACAGGGGTTTGTTAAGCTGCCTTCTGAAAACCACTGGTGCTATACCTGGGAATATTGGAGGTTCCCTGGGGATTCCCTGGGGAGATGGTGTTGGACCGAGCCAGTTCTGATTCTTTAGAGGTTAAGGCCTGTTGACCCATCAAAACCCAGTAGTTTTACACAGTTCTATGTCATTTTGGTTCATTTTGGATAAGTTTGGGATATTTTCAGGGGAAACCTCTCTAAAGAACCAGAACCCAGATCCCAACACAGGGGTTTGTTGAGCTGCCTTCTGAAAACCACTGGTGCTATACCTGGGAATATTGGAGGTTCCCTGGGGATTCCCTGGGGAGATGGTGTTGGACCGAGCCAGTTCTGATTCTTTAGAGGTTAAGGCCTGTCGACCCATCAAAACCAAGTAGTTTTACACAGTTCTATGTCATTTTGGTTCATTTTGGATAAGTTTGGGATATTTTCAGGGGAAGCCTCTCTAAAGAATCAGGACCCAGATCCCAACACAGGGGTTTGTTGAGCTGCCTTCTGAAAACCACTGGTGCCATACCTGGGAATATCGGGGGTTCCCTGGGGATTCCCTGGGGAGATGGTGTTGGACCGAGCCAGTTCTGATTCTTTAGAGGTTAAGGCCTGTCGACCCATCAAAACCAGTAGTTTTACATAGTTCTATGTTATTTTGGTTCATTTTGGATAAGTTTGGGATATTTTCAGGGGAAGCCTCTCTAAAGAATCAGGACCCAGATCCCAACACAGGGGTTTGTTGAGCTGCCTTCTGAAGACCACTGGTGCTATACCTGGGAATACTGGGGTTCCCTGGGGATTCCCTGGGGAGATGGTGTTTTAACAGATTTGGACCGAGCCAGTTCTGATTCTTTAGAGGTTAAGGCCTTGTCGACCCATCAAAACCCAGTAGTTTTACACAGTTCTATGTTATTTTGGTTCATTTTGGATAAGTTTGGGATATTTTCAGGGGAAGCCTCTCTAAAGAATCAGGACCCAGATCCCAACACAGGGGTTTGTTGAGCTGCCTTCTGAAAACCACTGGTGCTATACCTGGGAATATTGGGGGTTCCCTGGGGATTCCCTGGGGAGATGGTGTTGGACCGAGCCAGTTCTGATTCTTTAGAGGTTAAGGCCTGTCGACCCATCAAAACCCAGTAGTTTTACATAGTTCTATGTTATTTTGGTTCATTTGGATAAGTTTGGGATATTTTCAGGGGAAGCCTCTCTAAAGAATCAGAACCCAGATCCCAACACAGGGGTTTGTTGAGCTGCCTTCTGAAGACCACTGGTGCTATACCTGGGAATACTGGGGGTTCCCTGGGGATTCCCTGGGGGGATGGTGCTTTAACAAATTTGGAAGGGGACCGAGCCAGTTCTGATTCTTTAGAGGTTAAGGCCTGTCGACCCATCAAAACCCAGTAGTTTTACATAGTTCTATGTTATTTTGGTTCATTTTGGATAAGTTTGGGATATTTTCAGGGGAAGCCTCTCTAAAGAATCAGGACCCAGATCCCAACACAGGGGTTTGTTGAGCTGCCTTCTGAAGACCACTGGTGCTATACCTGGGAATACTGGGGGTTCCCTGGGAATTCCCTGGGGGGATGGTGCTTTAACAGATTTGGAAGGGGACCGAGCCAGTTCTGATTCTTTAGAGGTTAAGGCCTGTCGACCCATCAAAACCCATGCTTTTTTATCGCTTTCTTTTGTATTCCCCAGTGTTACTAGATTCATTGGCCCTGCATTTTCTCTAAAGAATCTAGACCCAGTGAATCACCAAGGAGGAAGAGAGGAAAAAAACATTCTTTAGAGGGAGAGCTGGTGGCAGCACCGATCAGATTTAGATTCTTTCGAGATCTTTAGAGCTCAAGAAAGGATACTCAGAAGAGCCCAGAAGATTCAATGCGTGTTGTACATGTTTTTGCCATTGTTTGGCCATGTGTAGCCCAGGAGAATTTCCGAATGATTTCACAGAGAGGATGATCGAGAAATACTCGGAGAAGGTGAATGACGATGGTTTCTTCCTAGGGGTAGCAGATGCCTTTCTTTTTGCGGTGAAGCAGGGCAAGAGTTTAGCCATTGCAGTTGATCCTCAGCCTGATCGGGCCTTGGAGGTTCTCAGTGCCAGAGATTATCTGTGCGGGATTCTTCCTGAAAACATCCAGATCGAACGGAGAGAAGGTGACGACTTGGATACAAGAGTCCTGATTCTTGGTGCATAGTCAGCTGCGACGCCAAGTTTGCTCAAGAAGGTGAGCGGAATCACTACGTCCCAGCCATTTTCAAGGATCAGCTCACTCAGGACGAGTGGTTTGATCGCACTGTTTTGGGCCAACGGTCCACTCGGAATGAGTTGAGGGAGAAAGAGCAGGCATTGAGGACGCTTGATTCAGACCTATAGTGGATGCCACATCATGCCTCTGTTCCATTTTTATTGAAATATTCTATGAAGGATCAAAGAATTGGAGCTGATTCCATTAGGGAAACACAAGGCCACCAAAATGCCTACTACATTTTAATGTCTGTATTTTGCTATGCCCGGCAAAACGATGAACGGAGTTATTGTATGAATCTATGTAAAATTGTGCTACTCTCATCATGTCTAGTGTCAGTTTTGTTGCGGCTTTTGAGCCATGTTTTGGCCAGCACTTGAAAAATTGAGAAGGTCATTTTAGGGTTCCAAAATTGCAAAAAATGCTTCCACAACATAGTCCTCTAAAGAATCATACCCGGCTGCCCTTCATAGAGAACGCGACCCCATGCAAACAGGCAAAGTTAATTCTCTAAAGAATCAAGCAGAAATTGACAACCCGGGTTGTCTTATTCTTTAGAGGAAATTCCAAGGGGGTTAGATTTGGTGATTTTTGCTGGTTGATCGAAAGGAAGACTGAAAGGAAATGGCGTGGTTCTCAATTACATGTTGTTTGCCCCCAAATGCAAACGTGCCCCAGAATTTGTTAGTCCTGTGTTGCAACAAGGGGTCGCTTTCCACCAAATGTTGGTGTCCCATGTCTTTTAAAACACATGGACTGTCGAAAATTGAGGAACCCATAGGAACCCTAGAAAAACACAAATCTCGCGCTACGAAGTGAAACCTGTGCTGTTGGGGTAGCCCCCCGCATCCAATCGGGCTATAATCTGCCGAAAAATTGACCTGGATCAAACTATGGCCAACCCCCCACAATCAGAAACAAAAATCGAACTGGTAGCTGGTTGAATTCAGCCACCGGACCCAATTCTCCCGGTTGATCCATGGTGCTTCCCAAAAAGGGTAGTTCACCCCTCATGCTTGTGATGGTTCAGTTCCCATTGATGGTCTACTTCCCATGTTTTGACACTGTGAAAATCACGATGTTTGATGCTCGATGCTTAAACAACCGGAAAGTTATCCATAGGCCACCCATCTTTGATGGTTAAAGCAGGTCAAACCCTCCATTGTTCATCATTTTCCTGGCTGAATCCCATGAGTTACGTCCAGGCGCAGCCCTCCAAAGCTTTGCCCAACCGCAGCTCGTCGGAGAAATCCAGCGGAAAGGACTGGACGCCTTATAGAGGATGACCCGCAATTAGCCAAAAAACATGTTTCAATGTTAGGAGCAGCTCCTTCCGACTGATCCTCTGGAACCATACAATGTGAAACAGGAAATCAGCGAAGCGCGAAAGACAGTGAACGAAAATGCGTGGGGCCTAAGTTACCTGTTAGGGAGTTCAAGACTTTCCCAGCAAAAACGAAACGCAGAATCAATACGGCTGATAACCAGAGAAAAAGGGGGAACAACAAGAAAACCAACAAGTTGAACTCCCTAACATCAACAATCAGCAAACGCTCTTTTTACTTGAGCGCTTGAGCCATACGTCATTAAGCGGTAATGACCCTTAAATAAGCATGACTACTACCCCAATAAGCTGTGCATTTAGCTTATGGGGATATTAAATAGAAGTTGTGAGGGCTGTACAACTACTTGGATGGTTGGAATCATAGCTACATAGAGTGAACTATAAGTAGACTATACAGTGGGGGTAATGGGTTTGTAATATTTCTACTAAGTATACACATATATAATTGCATATATATAATATATATATATAGTATACACATATTAACCATACATCTAGTGACTCGTGACATCTAATGATCACAGAATGATCACAAATAATCCCAACATATAGCATAATGCCTCTGCGGCACGTCGGACATCGGAGGCGCTCAGTGGGGCAGAGGCAATGGGCGCCTGGCGGCTTGACAAATTCACCACGTGGTGCCCCTGGTCCAACAGCAATTTGGCCAGGTAGCGGCCTGGTATCCCAGGATCACTCGGAGAATGGTGTTACCCTCTGGTAAACTAACATAACTATGGAACATCACAATTTTTAATGGGTAAATCCACTATAAATGGCCATTTTCAATAGCAAACTGTTAGTTTACCAGAGGGTATTGGATGGGTATTTGATGGGTTGCTTTTTGGATTTGGGTCAACATGGTCAACCTGATGGAGGGCAGTCGGAGGCGTATTTTCATGGATATTTCATTGATTTGGGAAAGACGTTAAGAGAGGATACATGAAGCCTTGTGGTTTTTGTCTACTGGATTTCTGGAAGGACAGGGGAACACAATGGAACACATCTAGGCTTTTGCTGATGTTTAGTGGATATCAAAACAAGTGTCTCTCTCCATGGACGTCTCGGTGGGTTCAGCAAAAGAAATACATGGATTCAAAGGAATATGGAGGGGTTCCTCTTAAGCTTCCTTTTGCTCCATTTTAATGGATTGATTCAGTAATTTTTGGGGATATTCTGCTGGGTATCTGAGATCTTACCATGGTTTCTACCCAAATATATCTAAGTGTCCAACAATTCTTGGATTGATTCGCCTCCCAGCAACCACGCCCAATTTAGTACGGCATAGTACGGCCTGAATAGCTGAATGCGCCCGTGATCGCAACCTTCTGCGCCATGGCGCCACCGGTTCTGTTTCAGCACAGATGGGGAAAAATGCACATTTGGATACATTTGGCAATTTGGACATCATTTCCATGAGTTTCCCATAGTTTCCCCATGGATCTGCATACGTTTTCTACAAATTGGAGGGGATCCTCATGTTGTGCCGAAGCAAAGCATGGATCATTGACCACCTGAAGGCCAAGCAATCTCCATGGATCTCCGCGGACCAATCCATTGGGGACCCGTTTTTCCCATTTGTTCTTGGTATGTCCTCCATGATTTATGCTTGGCTTAGACGCAATGGCATAATGCTTGGTTTTTCTTATGCTAATCATGTTAATATTCACCATATATTAATGTTCTTCCGGGAGAATGGTTGGAATTTGGAATGCCCACTCCGCCCATCAAATTCTTGGATTTATACTTTGATGGTGTTTCATCTCCTGACGGGCCTGCACAGAAAAATCTGTGAAATCACCAGCCAGAATCCCATGAAAACCACTGATTCGCTTAAATCCACACCTCAGTGCTACGGAAAAATGCCAGCTGAGGTAACGATGTTTGACTCCCAGGCCCCTCAAGAACCAGTTCTGAAGTGTGCTTGGAGCACAGTATGGGCACTTTTGCCGATGAAATCCCCATATGTTGTATCAATTAAAGTATATAAATAAAACCATAGCCAGGGGCAGGAGGCCTTCAGCAGGCTGCAGTGCTGCTTGGAGGCGTCTCCTAGATGCCTGGCTTGAAGAGGTGGCCACGATGATCTTGCGGAAACTCACAATCTTGATGGCATCTAAAAGGCATTTTAATTCATGGACATCAATGGTAATAAATGGATATAAATGGAAACTCTCTCTCTCTCTCTCTATCGCCGTCAGGTCGCCCGAGTTGTGCTGGGGGCAATATGGGATAGTAATGGGAGTTGATGGGGTTTCATGGGGAGTTTCATGGGAATTATTGGGATTTTGGTGGGGTTTGATGGGATTTAATCGGACTTTTGTGGGCTTGTGTGAGATTTTATTGCGGATGGGATGTTGCAATGATCTTCTAATCAAACACGTAACATTGATGGGCAACCATGTCAGGTTGGCAGTTACTACCAGCATCTTAGGATCTTAGGGGGCTATTAGTAGAACCCACAACCTTTTCACAAACACAATCAAGCCGTGAGTTTGGAGACACATTTCCTTGAACACTCAGTGTCCATGTATTAAATAATTTGTCTTCCGAGAGGGGAGGAAACTGAAAAAACTTATTGACACAAAGTCTGATTGTAGTATCTTTTCATAAGAAGGAGAGACCACACTGGTTGTCCCAACCGGTACCCGCCACGCTTGAGATTAATATCCTTACATGACTCAGTGGATTGTTTTTTGCTATGAAAAACCTTGCGTTTTCCTGCCAACAAAAAACTAAAAAACCTTGCACCACCAAGGCAAGTGGGGAACCCTCTGCAACTCATCCAACACCAATCCCCTATGGCAACAGCCGAGACCTCCAGAGATTCCACAACGTCCTCCTCCTGATGATTCACAGGAAACCATAGGATCTGAGTTCATCATTTCAAGTTAGACATGCACAAGTTTTTGGAAGTGTTTGGACTTACCCAATAAATCGTGGCCCCTGGTAAACCTTTGACATACCACCAAGCTATAGTATTTGTATAGTAACAGTATATAGTTTTAACATATACCTTGCTTAAGGCAATGGGGTTAAGCACTCTCTTTATTCTTTACCATTTAAATATGTTTGGATACTTTGATACGTCCTCTTCAAAACTTGTGCTACCATTGGGCCGCGGTGGGTAATACTCTTGAACATTCTTGAAGCATCTACTTAAAAATGTCATCGGTTCATCCCCCAACAATATCCAACAATGCCCCGGGTTGCCATATAAAACCATGGGCAAGGCCTATGCTAAACTTTTGGCGGCGCTGGGCTTTACGGCGCTGGGCTTTACCAATCGGAGGTGCCGGTGGCACTGTACACGTCGACGAGAAAGCTTTGCTGAGTGCACAGGGAAAAAGACTGGGGTTAATTAGGAGCAAACTTTGTAAACTATGAATACCGATACCATTGAATACCTATTTAGGTACATACACCATCATAAACCATGATTTTTGTTTCACACTTGATCTCAGACGATCTCAGGGTGTCCTCTCAGCAGTTCCCGCATATGTGGCACCTCCTTCCGAGGTGCTTGTCTTGGCAACTTTTCTGGCACTTTGGCAGGTTGATGTCAGCAGGTAGCTGCTGACTCAAATAAATTCCATGCACTAAGATTCTCGGCATGATGGAGCCATGTAGACCTAGGCACCATACCAAAATATGTTACATAGATATGAGATGTCTCTCCATTTAATGCTGACCATTAACCATACATTCACCTGGAATGTACATAATGTACCTCGTGGTTTGCGCAAGTAATGGTCATCCTATGCGCAATCTATATCTGGAAGGGATTGGAACCTTGACAGCACTGGTTGTAGATTTTCATTCTGCTTTATTTTCACCACTGGGAGCTGACAAAAACACTTGGCAGATCTTGGCAGTAAAAATTCCTTCCTGGCATTGTGTAAGGTGTTCTTGAAAAATGCGATTCCATGTTGTTCCAGTCAAAAGATTCAACTCGCCTATCTTCTTCATCAGTTTTTTTTTCGATTCGACAATTAGACACAAAAAGGTTTGGACAATTTTGGACAGTTCTGTATAGTCGCCATCATGCGGAGTTGAATTACTGAGGCAACCTAATTTTGGAAAACATACCGGAAGGCCTGGTTCAAACAGGCACAAACTTTAGCACACTTCAACTTGTCGGTAAGGCAGTCAAGATTTAAACTCAGAATTTTTTCAAATTGTGCTGTCAAAAATATAGAGGTTCCCAATGCGATACATATCAAACTGTTTATTTCCAAGTTGGCAAGCCAGCAAGGGAAACATACGTGTCACATGATATACATTAAACTCACTAAAGCTAAAGCTAAAACATGGTTTTGACTCATACTCTCAATAATGTAATACGATGCCAACAAGTATGAAAGAACCTGCCTGTGCTCGAACTCCGGTGAACCCGTCTCCAACCTCCATGTAGGTTACCAAGTACAGATGCACCGCCGAGAACCAACGGCGGTTCAGAGAACCCTCCGGTAGTCATAACACTGGAAAGTTAGTCTTTTATACGCATGTATGGCTGACTGTTCCGTTATTATGTTTATATTGATATATTCCGCCATGTTATATTTGTTGTGTTCATCGAAAATGGCGGCTTTCACGGGGTTCCAGCCATGGAGGGGCTCATCTGTACGAAAAGTTCAAAATAAGAGCAGCGGCATGATGCGGCATGGCTCCGTGCGTCAGAACCATCATCCAAACACCCCGGTGAATTTACAAGTAAAAAACCCTCATCCAGTTACCCATGAGTGGGCACCTCCAAGTAGAAATCGGTTTATATACCCACCCAACTGCAAATATATGCATGCTATGTAAATATATATATATATATGTATATATATATATATATATATGTATCTGTGTATGTACATATATATATAATATATGTGTGTGTGTATGTGTGTATGTATGTACATATATATACATATATAATGCGGGCTACCCTGGGTAAAATCACTAGGGTGACCCCCCAAAATAATTTTTCAGAATTATTCTGAGGTGCTTCAGTACATAACCCACTACAAAATATTTTTTCCAAAACACTCTAACCATCCCAAAATAATATCCTTTATCACTACCCACCTCCTCAAAATAATTTCTGAAAATTTGCAAATAAATTATTTTGTAGGGTTCTACTATTACTCAAAAACACTTCCCTTAGTTCAAAATAATTTTGGAAATTATTTCAAGGTGGTTTAAGATGGTTTTGGATGATTGAAAAAACAAGTAGAACCACCTCAAAATAAATAGCAAAAATCCCCACAAAATTATTTTGGGGGGTCACCCTACCTATCCTCCCGAATGCACCCGACAAGCATTGTCGGAATTTCATGATTTAGACCATCGATTTTTGGACAAAGAAATCTGAATCGACCCCTTCCTACCCCATAAATTATTTTGGGGGTGGTTAACTACTAAACCACCCCAGAAATAATAATAGCCTAAACTGGCAAAATTAACTTCCCATTGAGTAGTTCAAAATCCAAATTGCCTCGAACAGACAAACCCTGAGATTTACCATGAATTACTTGCTGAACTAATTATGTTTTAGAACATCGACTTAGCATCGGCTTGTGGTCAAAGAAACCTGAATCGATTCCTCTCTCCCGAAAAATTATTTTGGGGGTGGTTCACTACTAGACCACCCCAGAAATCCAAAAAAACCTAACCTTGCAAAACTCAACTTCCCTGGAATAGGTCAAAAATGCCAAACCTGATCCAAATTGACCCAAACTGTCTGAAAGAATCAAACCATGAGAACCTAATTATTTTGGGGGTGGTTAGCTACTAAACCACCTATGATTTAGACCATCGATTTTTGGACAAAGACATCTGAATCGACCCCTTCCTACCCCATAAATTATTTTGGGGGTGGTTAACTACTAAACCACCCCAGAAATAATAATAGCCTAAACTGGCAAAATTAACTTCCCATTGAGTAGTTCAAAATCCAAATTGCCTCGAACAGACAAACCCTGAGATTTACCATGAATTACTGGCTGAACTAATTATTTTTTAGAACATCGACTTAGCATCGGCTTTTGGGCAAAGAAACCTGAATCGATTCCTCTCTCCCCAAAAATTATTTTGGGGGTGGTTAACTACTAGACCACCCCAGAAATCCAAAATAACCTAACCTTGCAAAACTCAACTTCCCTGGAATAGGTCAAAAATGCCAAACCTGATCCAAATTGACCCAAACTGTCTGAAAGAATCAAACCATGAGAACCCAATTATTTTGGGGGTGGTTAACTACTAAACCACCTATGATTTAGACCATCGATTTTTGGACAAAGAAATCTGAATCGACCCCTTCCTACCCCATAAATTATTTTGGGGGTGGTTAAC